GGCCGCCTGTGCCCTCCATCGGTCGCCGGGCTTACAGTCGCATATCTGAAAGATTTGGTGAAGGCTGCCGCGAAGCAGTGGGCTCAGCAGCACCAGGGCACGCACAGGATAGGGCGGACTGTGACGCCTAACGCCTCGGGGGTTTTTATGAGGACGTCGGCGCCTTGCTCTTGTTGCGAGCGGTGTCGGGCAGGCGTCGGCACCCGGTACCGCTTCAGCGGATGCGTGGTGCAGGGCAGCTACCGCTTGGAAGTCGCGCGCGCAGGGTCTTGTTCTGGTCACATGGGTCGTCTTCGGCAGTCGGCGAAGCACCATCTACGGCCTGGGGCGCAACACCAGCCGTTGACCAGGGAAAACAAGGCCCTCGCCCTCCGCATTGCTGACGAACTGGCGGAGCGGCAGGCGCCTGCGAACCCTTTCACTGTGCAGAAGGAGATTATGCGCCGTGGTTTCGCACCCATCGTACCCAAGAGCCTGCGCAATGTTTTGTGCAGGCGTCTCGCGCAGCGGCGCGTGTCGAGACGGAAGAGGCCCCTGACGTGGACGGCGGTTTTCCAGGCGTTCGTGGAGGCGCATTCGGATTCCGCCAATGGCACTGTGGCATTCGTGCACTGCAAGGTCGGGCCAGTGATCACGTCCTGGGCGATTTTGATACCTCCTTTCTTGAATGAGTTTGCAGAGCTGCTGCGCGCGGGGGTGCGCTTCTCTGCTGTAGTGGCGACGGCGGACACCACATTCAACGTGGAGTGGCGGGGCTACAAGTTTGCCGTGCTATACCTCGTGGTCCATAGATGCTTGGCTGGCACGTGGCGCCGAACCCCGTGGCCCATCAGCGTTTGCTGCCACCCGCGCGAGGACAGGAGAGTCTACAGAATAGCGCTGGACAAGGCAGGTGAAGCACTCGCCAGCCGCGGGTGCCCCAAGATCAAGCAGCTGCATCTAGACCACTTCCCGGGCCTGGAGACTGTATTTTTGGAGAGCGCGGGCGCTGCGCCCGACGCTCGCGTGTCCCACGGGATTGGTCACATGTGCCGAAACCTCCGCAAGAACCAGAAAAGTAGCAGACGTCGCCGGACCCCTGGCTTGCGCACCAGGTCGATCGAGGCTCCGATAGCGTACATATATGAATCTTCGTTCTTGGTCTCGCAGCTCATGTTCCACTTGCTGTGGACGACAATGGAGTGCCGGATTCGACTTGTCTGGGGTGCGCCTGCGTGGTGGAGGTATTTTCGGAGGGTCTATTTGCGCACCACGACGGTCGACGAAGAGAGATTCTCAACGCTTCGCGTATCCCCGACAGCCTCTCCTAAAACAGCAATTATTGCGAAGCGTGCCGACAGTCGTGTTGGAGCCGTCTTGGGCTATCTTGGAGCCGTCTTGGAGCGGTCTTGGGGCGTCTTGGGGCGTCTTGGGAGCCATCTTGGAGCATATTGGGCTATCTTGGGCGATCTTGGAGGTCACCTTGAGCTTTCTTGGGCCCTTTAGGCGTTATTTTAAGCCAAAGCGGACGCCCCAACCACCCGCGAAACGGCCCCTCCAGGTCCAGGGGGAGGGGGTACTGGGGGGGAAGAAGGGGGTTGAAAACAGAGCGGGCTATCTAAACCACTCACGCCCTGAAGGGCTGGTGGGATTTGGAGTGCCTCAGCTACTTTCTGCGACCTGGCATCACGGCGTCACTACACAGAGCGTGCCTGGTCATCCAGCGTCGCAGCAGGGGGGCGAGCAAGGCCACGCTATGCTGAAGAGAGGCCTGGCCTCTCTGGGCAAGGGCGCCACCATGCAGGACATTGTCAACGAGGTCAAGGCGTGCGTCCCAGTGTGGAGGAGTGAACCTCTGGACGAGGACAGAAATGATAACATAAAAGCTGTGAGTTCCGGTCCAGGGGAGGGGGTTAGGGGAAGAAGGGAAGATGGAAGAGGAAACTCTCTAAACCACCTACGCCCAGAGGGCTGGTGGGATTTCCAAGCCGCATTTAGAGGCACCACGCCGTGGCACAACTGGTTGTGTCGCGGGGTGGCGATTCAAAATCAGTCGCCGCCGAGGTACGGAACTCGCCGCTGATATGTCCTCATGCCAGGAGAACTCGTTTTCTCTGCGAGCGCCGCCTGGGCGCATTGCCAACGCGCCGCAGTACCCCGACTCGTGGATGTTGGAAGACGGCCGTTGCTTCGCGCTGCCAGGGCGGCGGGAGAAGATATTCATCCCCAGCATCGCTTCCATCGTCGCGTCCCACTTCGCAACCGAGGGCGGCGAGGGGGCGACCGTGCGGGAGGTGGATTGCGGTATCAAGACTTACTACGTGATGCGCGTCGGCGTGCCAGGGCCCGTCAGCGCCGATCTGGCAAATGGCATGGTGAAGGAAGCACGATGTCGGCGGGAAGATGAGTTGCAGAGGATGTGGTTGGAGAGCGGCGTGCTGATAACGCCCGATGACGCTGTCGAGGGGGCCCCGTACAAAGTAAGCCTCTCTGGTCTCAGAAAATCTTGGGGGTCGCATTGCGTAATCGTGAAGAAGGAAGGCCGCGTTCACTGCTCCTGTTGGCTCTCGTGCAGGCGCGGCCACTGCCCGCACCTCTACAGCGTCCAAGAGATCGCGGGCCTCTGCCGGGTATTGGGCGAACCAGTGCCTCCCCCGAGCGCGGGGGCGGCAGCCTTGCGCGCGGAGGACGCTTCGGCGGCGCGCGCGGGGGCACCAGCGGCGACATCGGCATCCACAGCTACGGCGACGCGGCGACGCGGCGCCGGCAGCTCGGAGTCGCCAGCAGCTCGCAGGAGAGGGCCCCGCTTGGCCCGAGGATCGGCGAAGGCCGCGGCAAGGGCCTCGGCCACGGCGCAGAAGTCCGCCAAGGCTTCGAGTTCAGCCCCAGGCCCCGCGCGGGCCAGCGACGACCTCGATCCGGACGTCAGCCTTGTCGACCTCGCGCGCCCCGCTCCGCCCCGATCCGAGCGTGGCAGTGCGACGCCGCGAGCGTCGAAGAAGAGGTCCGCTTCCTCGGCACCAGAGGGGGCCAGGAGCCGCAAAGGAGCTTGCGTCTCGGCGGCGCCCTCTGCGCCGCCGCCCACTCCGCCCCGATCTGAGCGTGGCAGCGCGACGCCGCGGGCGTCGCAGAAGAGGTCCGCTTCCTCGGCGCCAGAGAGGGCCAGGAGCCGCAAAGGAGCTTACGTCTCGGCGGCGCCCTCTGTGTCACCGAAGGGGGTGCCAGTGCCATCCCGTGCCCCTGCAGCGCCGTCCCGTACCCCAGCAGGGCCTGCCCGTGCCGCGGCAAGGCCTTCCCGTGCCCCCGACGCTTCGTCCTCGTCCTCGTTCTCCTCGTCCGACGCTTCCTCCTGACGCTCCCTACCGTGCACTACCACGGGTAGAAATTTTTTAGATAAGAAAGTCATGAAAGGCTTCGTATGAGGCCCCAGCCACCCTTTTTGAACAGACCATTGGTCATCTGAGCGTTCCTCCTGACGCCCCCTAGCTGGGTGTCCAGCGCATGCGGCATCTGCGCAGTGCGGGTGCTTACGTCGGCCAACAGTAGATCCCGATAGTTGCATTATGCCTTCGGGAGACAACGAGTCGTCATCGTATTATTCGTCATCGCCAACGTCTTCGTCATCATCATCACGTCATCGTCGTCGTCCTCACTGTCATCATCGTCATCAGCATCATTATCGTCATCATCGTCCTACTCGCCCTCGTCGTCGCCGTCGTCATCATCCCGAAAATACCCCCCAATAGGACCCCAAGAGGCCCCCCAAGAGGCCCCAAAAGGCCCCCGCGAGGCCCAAAATAACACATTCCAAGGGAGGCCTCTTGGGGGCCCAAGAGGCTCCCGAGAGGCCCCAATAGGCCCCCGCGAGACCTCTCGAGGATCGTGGCCCTGGCCCCGCAGGGAGCCCCACCGAAGCTTCATTTCGGCACACTCCTCTCGAGGATCCTGGCCTTGGCCCCACAGGGAGCTCCACCGAAGCTTGATTTCGGCACACCCCTCTCGAGGATCTTAGCCCTGGCCCCGCAGGGAGCTCCACCGAAACTCCATTTCTGCGCACCCCTCTCGAGGATCGTGGCCCTGGCACCATAGGGAGCTCCACCGAAGCTTCTCTTCGGCACCCCTCTCGAGGATCGCGGCCCTGGCCCCGCAGGGAGCTCTACCGAAGCTTCATGTCGGCACACCCCTCTCGAGGATCGTGGCCCTGGCCCCACAGGGAGCCCCGCCGAAACTTCACGTCGGCACGGGGACGAGGGAGGGGTGGAAAGGGGAAACGCGCTAGACCACCTACGCCCAGAGGGCTGGTGGGATTGCTCCTCTCCCGCCCCAGTTGAACCAGGCGCGGCGGCCTTCCCAGCGCGGGCGTTCAAGGTTGCGACGCGCCCGGGGGGGGGCCCTTTCGGGCCCGGGGACTCTCAGAAATAACCCGCGGTGCGAAATCCTGATTAGTTGCGCAGGCCCTCTGAGACTGAACGACCCGCGTTGTGTCAGAAACCAGCTTCAGTCGCTGGCCCTCGGTCCCCGCCGCCGCCGTGCTAAGCCATTCTGGCCCAAGTTGTTGTAGATGTTCATATTCTCAGATGGCGCATCTTCTTCTGATCGCCAGTGTCATCGGGGCCAGCAGTAGATCGGCGCCCACCGTGACGGAGTCGAGCTCCTCCTTCGACGGAGTCGAGCTCCTCCTCGAGGATGCGGACGGCACCAAGTGGCAGGTGACCGAGGGCGGAGGTTTGGTGGCGGGGCTGCAGGACAGGTTGGAGGACCTGAAGGCCCTGTACGCCCAGCCCGACGCCCAACAACCCGACGCCCAACCCGACCCACTCCCCGACGCCCAACCCGCGGCCCCGGGGGAGAGGAGGCCTGGGGACCCCCCTCCCCAGAGCACCCCTGGGGCCCACCCCGACGCCCACCCCGACGCCCACCTCGACGCCCAACAACCCGACGCCACGCCCGACGCCCAGACCCACGCCCAACCCGACGCCCAACAACCCGACGCCCAACCCGACCCACTCCTCGACGCCCAGCCCCGCGCCCAACCCGACGGCACCAAGTGGCAGGTGGAGGAGTTGGAGGACCTGAAGGCCCTGCGCCAGCGCAGCTTTGGCCTGGACATGGACGAGGAGGACGACCTTCTCCAACCTCCTCCTCCTCTGACCTCCTCCTCCTAAATCCTCCTCCTCCCTCCTCTTACCTCCTGCTGCCTCCTCCTACCTCCTCCTGCTACCTCCTGCTACCTCCTCCTCCTCCTCCTCGTCCTCCTCCTCCTCCTCCTCCGCTGTCTTGGAAGCCTCTTGGATCATCTTGGGCTGTCTTGGAGGCCTCTTGGATCGTCTCGGAGGCCACGTCCTGCCAGGAGAGGGAGGGAGAGAGAGAGAGAGAGAGAGAGAAAGAGAGAGAGAGAGAGAGAGAGAGGGATGAGAGGGATGAGAGGGATGAGAGGGCAGGAGGCAGGAGGAGGGAAGAGGGTTGAGAGGGAAGGAGGGGGCCTCCTGGGCCTTCTGGGGGCCTCCTGGGCGTTGGGGGCTCCTCCAAGAGGCCTCCAAGACAGCCCAAGACGATCCAAGAGGCCTGCAAGACAGCCCAGACGACCCAAGAGGCCTCCAAGACAGCCCAAGACGATTCGGGAGGCCTCCAAGGCAGCCCAAGATGACTCAAGAGGCCATCCAAGACAGACCATCATCAGCACCACCATCATCACCACAACCATCAGCTTCATCAGCATCATCAGCATCATCAGCCCAAGACGATCCAAGAGACCTCCAAGACAGCCCAAGATGACCCAAGAGGCCTCCAAGACAGCCCAAGACGACCCAAGAGGCCTCCAAGACAGCACAAGACGATCCAAGAGGCCTGCAAGACAGCCCAAGACGACCCAAGAGGCCTCCAAGACAGCCCAAGACGATCCGGGAGGTTTCCAAGACATCCCTCTCATCCCTCTCATCCCTCTCTCTCTCTCTCTTTCTCTCTCTTTCGGTCTCTCTCTCTCTCTCTCTCTCTCTCTCTCTCTCTCTCTCCCTCCCTCTCCTGGCAGGACGTGAAGCTCATAACGCAGGTGCTCGAGAACGTCCTGATCGAGCACAATGGTCATTATGAGGCAGATGTCTTGAATGACACCTTCTTTGAGACAGGGAAGAACATCGAGTTCGGGGTCGTCTGGGTCCGCTTCGATGGTCCTCGCGCAGGTCGTGGCTTTCACTCGTTCGTGGAGTATCGGGCCAAGGACGCGACCGAAGAGGTCATCTTTGAGATCATGCATAACGCCAGCTACAAATACATCGGTGGCCTGGACGCGTACTCGATCAACTACGTCGAACCGCGCTTCCATTACATGGACCATGTGTGGGTGATCCCCGCTTCCTTTGGAGGCCTCTTGGATCATCTTGGGCTGTCTTGGAGGCCTCTTGGATCGTCTTGGGCTGTCTCGGAGGCCTCTTGGGTCGTCTTGGGCTGTGAGGCCTCCAAGACAGCCCAAGACGACCCAAGAGGCCTCCAAGACAGCCGAAGACGATCCAAGAGGCCTCCAAGACAGCCCAAGATGATCCAAGAGGCCTCCAAGACAGCCCAAGACGATCCAAGAGGCTTCCAAGAGAGCCCAAGATGATCCAAGAGGCCTCCAAGACAGCCCAAGAGGCCTCCAAGACAGCTCCAGACGATCCAAGAGGCCTCCAAGACAGCCCAAGACGACCCAAGAGGCCTCCAAGACAGCCCAAGATGACCCAAGAGGCCTCCAAGACAGCCCAAGATGACCCAAGAGGCCTCCAAGACAGCCCAAGACGATCCAGGAGGCCTCCAAGACAGCCCAAGATGATCCAAGAGGCCTCCAAGACAGCCCAAGACGGCCCAAGAGGCCTCCAAGACAGCCCAAGACGATCCAAGAGGCCTCCAAGACAGCCCAAGACGATCCAAGAGGCCTCCAAGACAGCCCAAGACGACCCAAGAGGCCTCCAATACAGCCCAAGACGATCCAAGAGGCCTCCAAGACAGCCCAAGACGACCCAAGAGGCCTCCAATACAGCCCAAGACGATCCGGGAGGCCTCCAATACAGCCCAAGACGATCCGGGAGGCCTCCAGGACAACCCAAGATGATCCAAGAGGCCTCCAAGACAGCTCCAGACGATCCAAGAGGCCTCCAAGACAGCCCAAGACGACCCAAGAGGCCTCCAAGACAGCCCAAGATGACCCAAGAGGCCTCCAAGACAGCCCAAGTTGACCCAAGAGGCCTCCAAGACAGCCCAAGACGATCCAAGAGGCCTCCAAGACAGCCCAAGATGATCCAAGAGGCCTCCAAGACAGCCCAAGACGGCCCAAGAGGCCTCCAAGACAGCCCAAGACGATCCAAGAGGCCTCCAAGACAGCCCAAGACGATCCAAGAGGCCTCCAAGACAGCCCAAGACGATCCAAGAGGCCTCCAAGACAGCCCAAGATGATCCAAGAGGCCTCCAAGACAGCCCAAGACGACCCAAGATGCCTCCAATACAGCCCAAGACGATCCAAGAGGCCTCCAAGACAGCCCAAGACGACCCAAGGGGCCTCCAAGACAACCCAAGACGATCCAAGAGGCCTCCAAGACAGCCCAAGACGATCCAAGAGTCCTCCAAGACAGCCCAAGATGACCCAAGAGGCCTCCAAGACAGCCCAAGACGATCCAAGAGGCCTCTTGGGTCATCTTGGGCTGTCTTGGAGGCCTCTTGGATCGTCTTGGGCTGTCTTGGAGGCCTCTTGGATCATCTTGGGCTGTCTGCCAGCCCTCTTGGATCGTCTTGGGCTGTCTTGGACCTCCTCCTACCTCCTCCTCGTCCTCCTCCTCCTCCTACCTGCTCCTCCTCCTACCGCCTCCTCCTCCTCCTCCGGGCTCTACTCCTGTCCCTGATCCTGCTGCTGCCGCTACCCCTTCTCCTGAGGAGTTTATGCTTCCGCGTATTGTCGCAGCGTAGTGTTGGGAACACTTGTGTGTGACACTACCCGATGACACTACGCTACGATTAGCGTAGTGTCGTAGCGTAGTGTTGGGAACACCTGGATGCGACACTACGCTAGGACACTAGAATATGTGACACTACGCTATGACACTACATTACGGTTAGCGTAGTGTCGTAGCGTAGTGTTGGGCACACCTGGGTGTGGCACTACTCCCTGACACCAAGAGGCAGTTGAAGTCGCTATGACACTACGCTACGACACTACGCTACGACACTACGCTACGACACTAGGGTCGTGTCATAGGGTAGTGTTTGGGGCACCTGGCTGTGACACTACGCTATGACACTACGTAAGTGTAGTGTCGTAGCGTAGTGTCGCGGTCGCGTGTTTTGGACACTACGCTACGTGAATTTTACGTAGTGTTATAGCGTAGTGTCTAAATTCACGGTTAAGAGCTACTCTCCTTCCTCTATATTAAATTATTGTATATGATCGCCCTTGTTTATGACATTCCTTGTATATGATGTCACTTGGCAGGGCTCTTGGAGGCCTCTTGGGGCGTGTTGGAGGCCTTTTGGGCCGTCTGGAGGCCATCTTGGGCCGCCTTAGATCGATTCTGGGCTGTATTGGTGGCCTGGGTGGGCTTCCTGGGCCGTCATTGAAGCCTTGAACAATCCCAGAAATACGCTATGGCCGCCCAGGGACCCCCGGGAGTAGGGACGGCGCAGTCGCCTATATGCGAGACGGCGGGCGGGTGGCCCCTTAGTTGTATATGCTATTGTTTGAATATGGCCTTCGTTGTATATGATCTTTCTCGTGTACGACGGTCCTTGTATATGATATTTCCTCTATATTAAGTTTTTGTATATGATCGTATTGTGAGGCTGTGTTGGGCAGTCGTGAGGGCCGTCTGCTCCTCACCTTCCTCCATCTCCTTCGCCCCCTCCTACTCGAACACATCAGATGAGGAAGCGTTTCGCTCGAGACATCCCCCTTGCAAATGTTTTTGAAGAGGTCTTTCAAAACGTTCCAGAGCCTGCTCCTCCTGTGTGTGTGTGTGTGCGTGTGTGTGCCTTCGGACGGGCCTTCGAACACATCAGATAAGTGAGGGATAGACGGACGACATTGGAGGCGTACAGAGAAGTGAGGAGGATAATCAGGACTCTCCTTGTGGACGTTCGGGGAGCGCGAGTCCGTAAGTATCCCGTGTGGACGTTCGGAGAGCTCGCCTACATTTCATTTTATCATGATGATGGTGCACGTTCTTGCGCAGCTCTGTCCTTTCACGCGCTTCCCGTTCATGTCAGGAAAGGTTCCCATCAGGAGCTTCATGAATGCCAAGGGTCTTAGAGTACCCTCACCGTGCCCCGAACGGCCACGAGTGCGATCAGCGTGGTTGTTGATTTCTGCTTTCATGCTCTTGTAGATAGCGGAATCGAGTGGAATCTTGATGCACAGGAAAGCGACAGCGAGCACGGCGCGAAGCTCTTCAGCATTCTTAAGGCATACTTTGGCAAGGATCTTCGCTAGCTCTCGAAGTTTCGTGGCCGGGCCCGCCCCCAAGCGGCGAGACTTAGCCTGGCGCTCTCCGGCTCCCGCCCCTCCAAGCCGCTTGAATTCATGCACCCATGCGTCCGGGAAGCGCGAACGAGGAACGAGGAGCGTGGACCGTTGCTCTTAAGGAAAAACTTTACATGGGGCTCGGGGCTGCATCTCGGACGGGCGTTGGCGGATGACGGGAAGCGTCTTCGAGGTACGAGAAGCAAGCGGGACGTTCTGGCTGAATCCTTGAGTATATATATATATATATATATATATATCTTTATATCTATGGGTTGCCGCGCTGCACGGGATTTTTCGTTGGCGGATTCCCCAAAATGGCCATTTCGCTCGAGACATCCTCAAAAAATCGAGGTGTGGTCTGCCGTGCTCCTGTGTGGTCTGCCGTGCTCCTGTGGTCTGCCGTGCTCCCCACAGGAGCACGGCAGACCGCGCGCAGGAACCGAGAGGAGCACGGCAGACCAAGACGAGGAGCACGGCAGACCAGGCACTGAAACCGAGAGGAGCACGGCAGACCAAGACGAGGAGCACGGCAGACCAGGCACCAAGAGCGCCCTCAAGACGACGGAAAGGATGACCAAGACGAGGAGCACGGCAGACCAAGACGAGGAGCACGGCAGACTATGCCCTAAGAGTGCCTTCAAGACGGCCGAACAAGCGGGACGTTCTGGCTGAATCTTTGAGTAAATATATATTTTCTTTAACTATATGGGTTGAGCACGGCAGACACCACACGAGCACGGCAGATCCCAAATGAGCACGGCAGACACAGAAGCACTGCAGACCACACAAGAGCACCGCAGACCTCACAGGAGCACGGCAGACCCCACAGGAGCACGGCAGACCCCACAGGAGCACGGCAAACCACAAAGGAGCACGGCAGACCACAGAAGCACGGCAAACCACACAGGAGCACGGCAGACCACACAGGAGCACGGCAATCCCCACAGGAGCACGGCAGACCGCGCACAGGTACAACATAAACGCGCCTTTTCTTGTACCCCGAACGCCGCTGGCGTTTCCCCCACAGGAGCACGGCAGACCCCACAAGCTGGCGGGAAACCCCAAATGAGCACGGCAGACCACAGGAGCACGGCAGACCACACAGGAGCACGGCAGACGCCACAGGAGCACGGCAGACCGCGCAGGAGCACGGCAGACCACACATGAGCACGGCAGACCCCACAGGAGCACGGCAGACCCCATAGGAGCACGGCAGACCACAGAAGAGCACGGCAGACCAACAGGAGCACGGCAGACCACACAAGAGCACGGCAGGCCACACAGGAGCACGGCAGACCACACAGGAGCACGGCAGACCACAAAGGAGCACGGCAGACCACACAAGAGCACGGCAGACCCCACAAGAGCACGGCAGACCCCACAGGAGCACGGCAGACCCCACAGGAGCACGGCAGAGCAGACCCAAAAGGAGCACGGCAGACCACACAGGAGCAAGGCAAACCACAGGAGCACGGCAGACCACACAGGAGCACGGCAGACCCCACAGTAGCAAGGCAGACCCCAAAGGAGCACGGCAGACCACCGGAGCACGGCAGACCACACAGGAGTACGGCAGACCCCACATGAGCACGGCAAATCCCAAATGAGCACGGCAGACCACAAGAGCACGGCAGACCACACAGGAGCACGGCAGACTCCACAGGAGCACGGCAGACCACAAAGGAGCACGGCAGACCACACAGGAGCCCGGCAGACGCCACAGGAGCACGGCAGACGCCACAGGAGCACGGCGGAACCCACAGGAGCACGGCAGACCGCGCGCGGGTACAACATAAACGCGCCTTTTTGTTGTACCCCGAACGCCGCTGGCGTTTCCCCAACAGGAGCACGGCAGATCT